CTTTCACGAAGCCGGTGAGGGCTCCCCGGTAATTCTCACCGCCCTCATACATCGGCACTTGAAGCGCCATTGCTCCCCTCCCCTTATGGTTGCCTATGAACCATCCCCGCAACCACACGCGCAGTCAACGCCTGCAATGTCCGGTGCTGGTCCCAATGCTCGTCCGGCTTTCCCAACGCTTCCTGTAAATTTGCGTCCGCTTGGGAAAAGCAGCGCACCTTCAAGCCCTAGCATAGCTTGCAAAGCATGCGGCGGACGAACTGCTATCTGCTCAAGCCGCCATGCCAAATCGAGCGCAGACGATAGAGGGTTCGACTTCGTAGGAGTCGGGCCATGCTCTTTCCTCTCCCCTTCTCCACCTTCGACCAAGTGCGCGACCTCGGACATAGCGCGTCGCTCTACTGCACCGGGTGCCACCGCAAGGTCACCATCGACCTCAACGACCCGAGGCTTACCGGCAAGACGTTCGCCGGTGTGTGCGCTTCACCTGCAGGCAACGTCATCCAGCGATGGAGCGCCCACCCACCCCGAGTGTGCGGCACGGTGGCCTGCGTCACGATCTACCCGCCACCCGACCGAGTGGTGAGGCCCGCCGTTCACGGCATCATGTACTACGGCATGGGCTGCCCTGGCCGCAGTCGACAACGGTTCGCCAGATCGATCTACACTAAGTGCCAATCCAGGCTAGCACTCGTGGGCAGTATCTCATTGGACAGGATCGTGTTGCCGTTCATTTGCCACTCGGCCACTGCACCCGTGCTGGAGTTGCGCCACAGGATGTCTGACTTGCCGTCGCCGTTGTAGTCGCCAACGTCGGCCACCTGCCAGACCGTGCCGGGATTGCCCAGCACCACGTCCGACGTGATCGCCGTGCCGTTCATCTGCCACTCGGCGACACGGCCATCGAGTGGCGCCACAGCACGTCCGAACGACCGTCGCCGTTGAAGTCGCCAACACCGGCAACGTTCCACGACGTGCCCGGGTTGTTCCCCAGCACGGTGTTGTTCACGATCGTGTTGCCGTTCATCTGCCACTCGGCAACCGCGCCCGTCGCGCTGTTGCGCCACAGGATGTCCGACCGGCCATCGCCGTTGAAGTCGCCCACTCCGGCCACCTTCCAGGACGTGTCGGGTGTGGAGTTGAGCAGGCATCCGACGTGATCGTCGTGCCGTTCATCTGCCACTCGGCAACCCGGCCATCGTCGTGGCGCCACAGCACATCCGAACGACCGTCGCCGTTGAAGTCGCCCACACCGGCCACCTTCCACGGACGTGCCCGGGTTGTTTCCCAGCACGGTGTTGGTCACGATCGTGTT